GTGTGTGCAAGGTTTTCAGTATGTGCGCCGTCATTTAGCCACAGGAATAAAATGTTATGATATTCAACGTCAGTCGGTGCAGACTGACATATACACCAATTGTTCCCAGACAATGTATTCTAATGACTTTTGTGATCGGCTGACTTTTCTTTGAGAGCCACCACGAGGTTGAAAAATGTGATTTTGATTGAAATATCTCAACAACTGCTGGATGGATTGTCATTGAAGATCCTCACAGGATATACTGTGATCATCTTGGTCATCCTCATCAGAATCAGAATCAGAAATACTTAGGGTTAGGGTTAGGGTTAGGGTTAATAATTAACTAATAATCCCCGTGGGGAAATTACTTCTACCACTTCAATGAAACTGAAGAGTACATTGACAGGATTATAAAACACACTTTACCGTTGGCTTCCTGGTTGCTGGCTGACTCATGAGGAAATGCATTCTGGGTGGTGGGTGCTGGGAAGGAGGCAGACGAAGGAAATACGGAGGTGGGCGAGGTGACAAACGCACTGGAAGTCGCCCTGGAAAAAAATACACCACCATGAAGTGAGAAGGCAGATACAGCGCAGTATATTTTACATAATATACAGAAATATCATATATAGCAAACATATATACTATTCGCGATTACCAGTATTCAGTATTGAAGTGTGTTTTATTCTCCTCTGTAGCATTAAAGCAACTCTCGTTCTGGCTTTGGAAACTAATTGTGTGATCATGTGCATGATTTGTTCACTTGTTTTAACAAAATGTAATACATAATTGGGCACAAATCAATAATCATACCTAAGACTGAGTGTAGAAAGAGATTAGGGTTGCAACTAATATTTATATTAACCAATTAATCAATTATGATTTTTTTATCTGGTCTATGAAATGTCAAATTATTGTGAAAAATATCCGTAGATGACGTCTCCTGCTGTCTTTTTTTGTCCGACTAACAGTCCAAAACCCAAAGATATTCAATTTAAAACAATATAAAACAGAATAGAAAAAATAGAAAATCTTTACATGTAAAAAGCTGAAACCAGCCAATATTTGCCATATTTGTTTGACTAAGCAACTTAAATAATTGATCTATTATCTATTATTAACTCTGAACAAAATATAAAAGCTTTAAACTTTTCCTTCAACCTCCAAACAGAAACTAAATTTTACTGTAAACTCTGAAGACTTTCTTCTGGATTGTAATCTGGATTTTAAGAATAATAAAAGTTCTGGATTATGTCATTCTGCAAAGAATTCCCAAACACACAAACCCATTTCTCTAAAACGGAACCACATCTTCTCATGATCAACATATTCGTCATCATCTTTTTTTAAAAGCTTAAGTTAAATTAAGTTACAAGGTCAGGGTCAGGGTCAGGGTTAAAGTCCTGAACATAAAACGTGTGTGCCGAAGGAAGTAGCAGAACTGACTTAAGGCCCCTGAACATGATTCACTCACCTCCTGATGCGTTGCTGAAGGGGTTACTGGGGGAGAGGGCAACGGGCTGCTGGGAGCTGGAGCTGAATGGGTTGGGGAAATCTGAGACGCACAGAGAGAGAGGGGGAGATAATTCACAGTGTGTGGTGGTACATTCCTGTCGATTCAAACCAACGAGGCTCTGAGTCACACACTTGCTGCTTAATTAGAGGTGTTGGATGGCTTTAAAGATGAAGGAGCTGAGTGTAAATACGGTGCAGGTTAGCAGTTCGTGCTTGGTACCTACTTGCAAAGGTCTGGGAGCCGGAGACCGTATCGACACCGGGGGAACTGAGGACAAGCAGAAAAACGGAGGATCGATGAGAAAGTGACCTTTAAAGTAGCTCCACGCGCAGGAAATTTAAAAATCTATCATGTTAAACAAAAGCTGATGTGACAAGAGGTTTTTTTTTGTCTCTACCTGGCAGGAGTAGAGCTTGACGAGAGCCTGCTGCCGAAGATGGCGTTGTACTGCGGAGGACCACCAGGTGGAGCTGTAAACAAGAATTACACACAGACCAGGACATAACCTCAGGGCTCTAATGAGAGCTAATTTAAGACATCAAGTGCTACTATTATCTTGAAATGTGTGTAAAAAAAAAAAAATCTCACAAAGAGTTCAAACTGTTGATCTTAAGCATGTAAGTCATCAGAGAAGAAAATCATTACTAATCCCCTGAATTAAATATCGTCTCTGTGTTCAGCTTGATATGAATCAAACTGGGCCGGAGCAGAAAATCAATAACCTCATTACTCTGCCAGGCGGGGAGGAGGCCGCGATGAAGGTGGAGAACAACAACGCTTCTTGTAGAAAGCTCAAGGGCTTCTCACATGAATCCTATGCATTAAAAACCGCAGCCTTGGTTATTAAACAAGCCGATTTAAAAAAAATAAATAAAAATGTATCAACGGGGTTCTTTGAATCGGACCGTGAATGATCTGGAGCAAACACAATGAACATAATTCAGCTGCTGAAAGCCTTGGCATTTGGAGTAAGGATGTTATGCAACCTAGTTGAGCTGGCCGTAACAAACTGCATCACATGCACACTCTAACTCTCCCTCTGCTTCTCTATCTGTTACCTAGTGGTGGAAGAAGTACTCCTTCACTGCAGTCCAAGTGCCAGTGCAGCAGTGTAAAAAATACTCAGTTTGGGACTCAAACTGTTGAAGCCACCTCAGATGTTTGGAGGGAAATCAATCACCAATCTTTGGTGACACTGAGCTCCGACGTCACGCTGCTATTTCACAAGGAAACAGCTGGTTTAATCTTTAACAATGTGTTGTATTTTATCAGCTTATCGTGTGTTATAGTCTGAAAAGTAGCAAATGTATCTGTTAAGTGGCGTTGTACTGGAGTAGAAGTGGCATCAAATGGAAATACTTAAATAAAAGGCAAGAACCTCAAAGGTTTACTTAAGTACAGTATTTAAAACATTAAAGGCGTCTTTGTTCCCCACCTGTGGCTGATGACGTGTCGGAGAAGGCGCTGTCCAGCTGTAACACCGCAGCGTATCTGTCCTGGGCGTTGGAGCTGCTGACTGGCGGCGTCGTCTGGCCGACACTTCCAGGCTGCTGATGATGCTGCTGGGACAGAGACTGGGGCAGAGGCTGCACCTGAGGATGGCTCAGACCTCCAAAGTCGACGCTGAGAGACTTGGGGAAGGCCCTGAAGGGTCCTGTGGCCCCCGAGGCCGATATTGTACGACCTGAGAGCGAGAATACCGGGCTGAGCGTCAGTGCAAAGACAGATGAGCGTCAACTTATTCATAACTGACTCACACTCTCGTATTAAAGTGGTAAAATGATCTAATTATATAAAGTGACTTAATGTTGAATTTCTATTTAAATTAATGCAACTTAGTAAATACATAATTAAGAAGTTATATTACAAAGCAAGACTGAAACATGATCATATCACGTGGAATTGTTCAAATCTTGATTGAACCTCTCAAGGACCCCCACAAGGTCCATTTAGTAGCAGTTCTGTAGGTTTCTATCATATCACTTGATCATCATCAGGAGAAATGATCAGGAGGTTGTAGGTGATAACATTTCTGAGCATGTTAAGAACTTCTAGGTTCAATGTTTTAAACCTTGGAAACAGCAGTTTTACCTCAAAGTCCATTTAGTAGGTGTTCTGGAGCTTTTGATCACTTCAGTTTTCAGGACACAGTGGATAAGAAGTTCTTAAAGTGCCCAGAAAACATGGGAATCTTAACTTCTGCTAAAGATCTCACGATACGATTGAAAGCTACTAAACAACTACAGACTAAGACTGAAACAAATTCAGGAATACTGTTTATCAAACTAACTCCAAATCAATTCATGGACATTTATCAGATTCTAGCACATATTGTTCTGTACAATGTAGAAATAATATTATTATTGATACAACAAATACAAGCCAAATCACATAAAACAATCCATACACTACCTAAAACAAAGCCATTTGTCTCATGCTAGTTTAACATTTTCATGCTTTGAGGCTTCTCAAATGCAGGATCAGTTCGACATATAAAGTGGCATGAACAGTCATCGCGGTTAAGCATTAACAAAGAAAAAATCGAAAGCCACAGCAGCGAGCCAACAAGTTCTTGGATAGTTTTCAAAGCACCAACCACAAAAATACAATTGTTAGACGGTAACAAAGGCAGGAAACCACAATTAACATCTTCATCAGGTAGCAAGCTTTCAACAAAACATTAGCCACAAAGCATGCTAGTATCAGCCAAAGTTGTTAGCATGGGGATACAACTGAAGCGGGTGTTGTTGTTTTTTTTTTAAATACAGCTTGTTTTCCTCTACTGAGGAGTCAGTGACAGAGACCAGACCAAACTTAATGCAGGTTATCTGAAGATATAAAGCATACCAAAGTCAAGCTGCATGTTTTTGGGATGTGATCATACACCACTGCAGGGGCTGGAGATATGAGCCTATCTCTGCAAACATACCTGAACTATCTAGAATACTTGTTTGGGATGTTAATGTGTGTTGTGGGATTACAGCTGCGCCCTACATAGCTTTTAAGTGCTTCAACACCAACGTGGTGCGAAATATCGGCGGCCCTCTGCTGACGGGTGCAGCAGCCGCTACGGCCTAAAAATAGCATTACTTTAAACTTGTTCTTTTTCCTCTGAGGGAACAGTGTGTGTGCGCACCTCTCCTTGACCCTCCCAGCCTTCAGATCTGGGCTTTGAAGTGGGAAACCTGACCGATGAAGAAAAATATCGACCCCATTTGCGGCATGTGACACTGGCCAGCCGTGACTCGGGCAGCTAAATGAATATAAAGTGCCGTGTCTCCCCTCTAAAATGAAGCCGAATCCACATGCACGTGAGCCACGGTCAGCGCCGCCACGGCAACACAGTTTTATAATGAATGATACAGCAAGGAAGAGCTTATTGATCTCAGCCATTCAGCACACACTCAAATGCATCAGTTGGTGCTGGGTCTTACCTAAAGTGAAGTGGTTTTTGAAAGAGCTACTGGCTACGAGGTCGGGGGAAGAGATGAGAGCGAGATAAGACAGACAGAGACAGAAAAGAAAGAGGGATAAAGGAGTGGATAAAAGAGAGGAGAAACTGTCACTGACGTCATATGAAATTGTTGTTCTTGCTGGCGTCTGCAGCCAGCCGAATTTAGCTTTTCATTAAAAAAGCAACGCAGTGTGCTACGATGATAACGAGGAGCCATTTTAAATCCACATGATATGGTAGGGGAAAAAAAAAACACTGACAAGCTTAAAATTACGGCCACAAGCAAAGTAGTTTCTCTCTCTCTTTGTCTTTTCCCCCCAAAGTGACGCTTGGAGCCAACAGTGACGAGCGGGATTGCGTCATCAGTGAGAATCAGTGAAAATATTCAACAATCTGCACATTCTGGGCAGCACACGGACACTATGCACTGCCAGATTGTACAGCTAGAGCCCCGCAGAACAGTACAGGAAAGGGTAGAGTATCCATTTTTACAAGACGATCCATGTAGCTGCCTCACTTTAGGATAAAAGGTGCAACAGAAGGAGGAATTAGGCTCACAAATATTGGAAACATCATGGCAGTTAGCAAGTTTGTTTTGTATATTCGTCATCAATATGCAAAAGACACAGGCTAATACAGTTATATATAACATTATACTCATCTAAATAACAGTATTTTCTCTTTCCTCTAGCTTTTCTGATTGAGAATTTGTGAGTATGCTGATGCCGAAAACACTTTCCAGTTCGATTGAGACCAGGAAGGAACAGAAAAACGAGGGTGCTAGTGAGGGACACACCTGAGGGCCGTGGGAGGGCGGGGAATGAGGGCGCGTGGCTCTGAGCTCCCAGCGCTGACGACAGGGAGCCTGGCCGCTGTCTTTCTATCCCACACATTGTGGGATCTGTGTCAGGGACGGACAACACACAAAGAGAAAGCACAAACAGGTGAAGGGATCGATCACATTCAGGCCTACAATATCTACTCCTCCGATCAGCCTCCGACCTTTCAGAGAGGGGTCTCTGAAGCTTTGGGAGCGCGACGGCCGAGCGGTGAACACGTCTGTCCGCATGTCGGCGGGGGAAATCGCAGGAGCTCGATCCCATGGCGGCAGCTGGGACTGAGACTGCAGGACAAGGACATAGAAAGGAAAGAGAAAAGAAGCAGATGGGAGGTAGAAGGAGAGAAACAAAAGGCAGAAGAAGTGAGTCTCTTTCATGCTTTCTCAATAATTCATAAGCAGCAGCTTTGATGTCGAGGCTACCTGGGCCTCTCGCAGTCCGACCCATCAGTCTCTGTCTCTCTGCAGCCGTGTGGAAGTGAATTCAGGTAGTTTCTTAACCTTTTATTCTCTTTCTTTTTGGACACTCTTTGAGCTACTTGTCTCTTTTTCACTTCCTCTTTTTTCTTTCCGCACCAACCCACTTTCTCTCTTGAATCCTCATTCTCTCACTTTCACTCCTCTCCCATTTATCTCTGTTACTCTCTCAAGCCATTACTTGCACAATCAGGGACACATTAAGCTCTCTCTCACCAGCGGCCTTGTGGACCTGGCGTTGGGGGGCAGGTTATGGGAGGGGGCCTGGTTCGCTAAGGGACCATGGGAAGGGGGCACGGCCTGGACCCCTGGGCTCCAAGGACCCTCGACATCCCTCCGGTTCTTACTTTTAGAAAAATGCCTGAAAGAGATTATTTGATGCCGTTAAAATGAGTCTGTGTGACTAACTTGACATTTAGTCAGTTACCCAACTATCAAACATGTCAAGAACATTTCTAGGGCCTTGAAGCTAAACCCAAAAACTAGACTGCTCTTTCATTCCCAGCATGAAGGCAGCTCTTATCCTTGAGCTAATTCTGAGTAGGCGTCCGCATTTCAAACAGGGAATGTCTAAATTTGGAACAAACGTCATCAATTGTTGGTTGGATCTAATTTTGCCCTGTTGTGCCCTTTTGGTTAGTCTGAGTCTGCAGCCATGCTAGCAGCTATGTGGAGCAGCACTGAGGCACAGTGGTGCTATGAGCTAAATGCTAACATGCTCACAACAATAATAATAATTTACTTGCTTACTTTACTTGCAAAGCTACTTCCCTAAAGTCAGTGCAAACATGCTGATGTTTAGGAGACATTCAGCATCTTAATTTAGCATGTTAGCACTGAACAGTACAGCTGAGGCTCCTGGGAATTACATTGGTTCTGCAGGTATTTGGTCATTAGCGGAAGTTTTAGACAAACTTTTTTTTTTTTTTACCATTGTTGGCAACTTAGTGTAGCATGTTAGCATGCTAATATTTGCTAATTAACACTAAAGACAAAGTACAGCTGAGACTGATAGATTAGTTTGAGGTCATAAATGAAACAAATATGAGTGGACGAAAGCACTACATGAAAGTCAGGGGATCACCAAAGTGATTGGGATTCATCTTCTGGGGAACAAGAATATCGGAATTTGGGGCCAATTCATTCAGTAGTTGTTGAGATATTTCAGTTCGGACCAACAGACCAACATTTCTATCCCTAGAGAAGAATCACTGGCTCCAGCTTCTCAAATTTTTACAGTTGTAACTCTGTGAACTTAAGATTTCTGCCCTTTTATACACCAAATTACAAACTGATTAATAAATATAAAATAACATTCGTTGCTGTCCGACTCACCTCTAATCCTTCACTACGACTGATCACATTAGTATGTTATGCTGCAGATGA